ATGATTTCCAAGTTGCAAGAATTTTATTAGCTTAAGATCACAAACATTTGGGGAGAGCTTCTGGAAAGTCATTTCTGAGGACAGACTGTTTACCTGCAAAAGAAATCCAAGCTGCCACGACTGCATCTATTAAAAACACCTTAAACCACAGGTGAAAAGCATGTTTATACTCCTGTCCTCTGTCAGAGCTTTTTCACAAAACATGGTCCCTATTTGAGACAATTTCAGAAAGCTCATTATATTTACAGACTGGCTTTATCATCCACGTCAAACACAATTCTCAGCATTTTCAGTGTTGCAACAAAATTCTTTTTGATTCTAACAAAGACATCAAAAATTCACGCATGAAAGACCGCTTGCAATATTTTGATAAAATCAGAAAGTTCATACTGATTAGTGACAAAGATTATTTCTTGCTCAGTTTACCAGCTTTCTTTCTTTTTTTTTTTTGTAATTATTCAATTTAACCTGATTTTAGCACCTGTTCATAACGCTGGAGACCCTAAGTATTCTCACAAAGCAGGGAAACACTTCTCCAGAAGCTTCATACACAACTCACACCTCAGATTCAAACTGGCCTGTACAGTAACTGTGCTAAAAAGCATTACCAATGTCAGCTTACAAACAAAGAGGAAGCAGGGAAAGGTGGACAGTGTGCTTCAGTATTCTACAGTATTATATCTGTATTCCAAGAGGGAAGAATGGAGCAGAGTACCTACTCCTCCCATTACAGCAGTATTCAAAAAATGCACTGCCTCAGTTTTTGCTTTGATCAACAGGCCACCTCTACCCATGTCTTCTTCTTTAAAGATTCTGTGTTCAAGAAGGAAGCAATGCTACTCATCATGAACTAAACGAGTCATAGCCTTGACAAGCCTTGGCAAATTTAGTTGTTCAGCAGATGAGAGACTGAAATACATTTGTTTTCCAGCTGATTATCGCAAGCTTACCTTTTTACTACAAGCTTTAGTGTCTTGTGCGAGCCTTTCACCAGACAGATTGCTTCTTGTCGGAACCCAGAGAGGCCCACATCATTGATGCCAACAATTTCATCCCCTGCCAGCAACTTGTCCACAGAAGCAGCTTTACTCCCATCTTCAATCTGAAGAAAAATCAAACCAAATGTGTAGAATTACTGAGGTTGCACAGTGACACATTTAAAATAAGCTAACGGAGTTTCAATACTGGCTTGATGCAATAATTGCAACAGTAATTAAGTGGCTAAAACACCTTAAAAAAAAGTTACAAACACTATAAAGAAAGAATAATGATACAGAGAAAATCAGAACAGGAAAGAAAAATAGGGGGAAACTTCCTGAGAAAATTAGAAAACTCCATGGAAATTTGGAATTCAAAAGAATATGTGATTTGGAGATCTGTTCAATACAGTACAGGTAACAATACTTGCAAATAGTGCTCTGGGCAGGCATCTTAAAATCTAGTTCTCCAGAAAAGGTAACCAATTATAGTAACCTTACAGTCAACAACATTAACCCACACAGTCAACTTCAAAAATCCAGCATCCTGTAAGACCTCAAAATATTGCATCACCGTCTGGTTTGGAAAATAAGCTTATTTTTATAAGACATTTAACATTTTAGAGAATTTACAGTCCATATAGATAATTAAGAGCTCTAGCTAGAGGAAGAGATTATGATCTGAGATCTAAACCATTAATACAGCATGTTTCACTGCCAAAGAATACAGTCATGCCAAGGGATACACACTGGAAGATTGTTTTGCTTCTATTACATGCACTGAATTTTTACTTATTTAACTATTGATAATATGTGGTGAAATATGTACACAACAAATTTAAGAGTCACTTTTTGGCAATTCCAAGAAGAAAACACTCCCATTAGAAGCTGTCCATTTTTAGAATATAAAAGAAATCCCAAAAGCTCAATCTGCCAGACTAACAAGTACTAACAGTTTAAACTGATTTCAAACAAATGTTGAAGACCTTGCAATTCAGGTCCCAAGCTTATTTGGTTTGCTCCTTTCTCTTCCCGCAGACAAACGCACCTTTTGGCCTCTCAGTTGCTTGGAATCATGACCTATGCATTTAGGTTTCTTTATTCCTCCCTCACTTGCTCATAATCCATATCTCATCTCCTCTTACAGACTTGACACTTCATGTTCAAAGCAAAGATTTTAATTTATGTCTTCATTTTATTTTGCCTCCATTACAGTATCTCTAAGTCCCTTATTATTAAATGCCAGTGAATCTACAAAGAAAAATTCCTTGTAATTGCCGCAACTACAGAAAGCTTCATAAAGAACAGCCAAAGTCAATCATCAACAAGATAAATCCTGAGGAAGCCTAACTTCATGAAATCCAGAGCTCACGGTACAGGTTATCAGGATACTCCAGCAGTGAAAGTCTAAATTAAATAACCTAATAAAATAAGCAATATCTCTTGATGAAAGTCCATTAGGATGATCTCATGCACCACAGCAATCTCATTTCATACACATAAAAGCTCTCTTTATGTAATTTCAGGATAGATGTTCTTAAAAATCTCCAGACCTTTAAATCTAAGCCCAAAAGAATGTCACGTAAAAATGCTTAGTCTTATACACCATTCCAAAACACTCACTATTCATACTAATTGAGTAGCTGAATTTTCAGAACTTCTTATCTTAATAAAAACACAGATAATTAAAGACAGAGTAAGTTTCTACATGCTGATACATCTAGCTCTCAAGCTGTGACCCGCCTGTGACCTGCCTGCCTATCTTCTGAACATCAAGAATTTATGAAAATATTCAATTCTCAGACCAAATCTACAGTAAAGTTGAAAGCTGGGGAGCAGCAGTGGAAATCACTTAAATGCAGGTCAAGATTTGAAATCAGCATTGTTGAGAATGGAGTGTCTGCCCTACTAGGAACACCAAAGCTAGGCAGAGCTAAATGAGAGAACAAACAACAGGGGACTCATGAATCCCAACCCTCCTCCTAAGTGGCAATCAACAGTCTTTCAATTATCCAGATGCATTTCTAGATTGCTTCTGAGGTCTAAAACCCAGCAGGTCAGAATAACAGAGAGAAAATGCTAATGAAAGGCAGATTTGAATCAGAGAGATGTAAGGAGAAGGTCAAACAGAGGTGAAAAAAAGGAAAATAAGTTGCAGGAGTACACATTACAAACTACAGAATGTAGATGCCAACCCACTGCAGCTCAGTAAAGTACCAACTCAATAAGAAGGGGTGAGAAGTCCAGGTGCCACATAGATGTCAACAACTCAGAAGACAGGGCTTGAAGACCTTGACAAGGTCTTTTTTTGCCTTAAAAAATAAAAAAATAATTTAAAAAATTCTGTCTCCTGGGGTTTCAAGGAATGTTCATTGTTCTCTGTAAGGATGTTTGTTTTTTCTTTAGGCTGGCAATGCACTGACTGCAGGGAATATTCAGTTACCTCCTCTGAGTTTTCATTTCAGCAGGGAGGCTACACATTCCACACAGCGTAAACTTTCCAAACAGACTCTGTCCAAAACATTAACCACTCCCACAAATAACAAAAAATAATAATTAAAAAAACAACACATACAAAAAAATCAAACACTAGAACCCAGAAAAAGGTGTACCATAAACTAAGCACAATCTTGAAAGCAAATCCCCTGAAAACTGGAAGTGGCTTCCATTAAAATGCTGCCTCCAAATCAGTTGTTGATAGAATAAAAACTACGTATCCACTCACAGTAAAAGTCTCCCTGAGCTGAACAAATTCAAACATAAATCCTTCTTACTGTCTCTACCTCAGGTCACTGTATGGCTGCATGAATGCCATCATTCCACTTGACAATGCACTTTTACTGGAAACGGGACTGTTGGCTAGACAGGAAAAAATAGTTCCTTCAGTTACACTACAGGTGATTTAGATATAGTGACTGAAAAATGCAATGGATTTTGCACACATCTAAGGAAACACAGCCATAAAGATTAATAAGGCAAAGATCTCAGAAAGTACAGTGCTTATCTGCCTCCTCTGCTCACACTTTCACAGTGCCATTCCAGTTGCTCTTCCAGGTTTTCTCTTTTTTTTGTTTACTATGTTTTGCCCCCCTACCCTCCCCCTTTTTTTTTAATTCAACTCTTTACATATTTTCCATCTTCAGTACTGTAAATCCCAACCAACATACATACACTTTCTAGCAATAGCAACTACACTTGAAAAACTCACCCTTATTTTTCACACCTCAGACCTGAATTTATTTCACTCATCCACCCACAACGTTAAATATGCCATGCTACAGCAGAATTTAAACCCACATTTTAAGACTTAAGCTTATATTGCTTATTTAACCAACAAACAATTTCTTTCCGAGTTTCAGGTGCCCAGAAAGACCTTCAGGAAAGAGCTGAAAACAAAGGCTTGAGGGAGGTTTTTAAATGAAACCTTCCACAAAAAATCAGCAAGTCATGTGCAGCAGGCAGATGTGATGGGGAGACAGCCTCAAGCAAGACACAATCAAGAAAACTAATGCTTTATTTTCTTATATATAAGAAACCTAAACCTCTGAAAAACAAGCACAGTTTTACTTCTCACCTTGGATGATTAAGAAAGAGTTCTAGAAATCCCCTCAAACCATCTTTTCAATATGTATTAACAAATTAGACTTCTCTTATTATGCTAAGTTAACAAGACGAAACAGCGTGACTTCCTATCCTTAGCAGGGACGCTGATATTGCAACAAAAAAGTGTTTTCAAGAGGAGAGGAAGAGGATGTTTGCTGACAGAAAGCATCTGTTTAGACAGCCTCCAACTCTCACTCTTCTGTCCTTGATGACCTCCCTATGGCCAAGAACAAAGGCAAATTTCAGGACCTGTGAATGAGTGAGGGTTGTAACCACAGGCTTCTGCTGTCATAGCGATATGGACATTAAGTGCTGTATCCCAAAGTCATTCTTGGCTATAAAATATTCTGACACTGGAAGAGGGATAGAAGAGATATACGCAGGTAATGCTTAAGACAATGGTGTGAATGAAAAAAAAAAAGCCCACAAACATACTGCAGCATGTGCAGTTCTGTCAGTGTACAGGAGAGAGGGTTTCAAACAGGGCAGTGGAGAGAAGTGCAACAGCTAGACACACCGACACATTCCAGGGACATTTAGGGTCTGGATTCCCATTGTTGGTAACACATGTAAAAGGGAAAATAATAGCTTATGTCTGCAGCTTTAAAATGTGGTAGTGTTGAGGGGATACACCACTGCTAGAATGTGACCCATTAACTTCTATGTTTACCAGAGCTGACGCTTTCTGTTAAATACCCACATTCCTCTATAGGCACCTGTATAAACAAGCGGGAGGCAGGTTGGGGAAGTGCAGTGTCACACCAGATATCTCGTTTCATTTACCATGACGACACCGGGACAGTCTTGTCCAGGCTCTGTGGGCAGGGTGGGAGACGGGATGGAAACCCAAGCCCAGAGACAAACACAGGAAAAAACAGCTCCACTTATCAACATTCTGCCATCAGCTGTGATAAACTATCATAACTCACTTCTCGTGCAGCCAAGAAATCATTTTGTCTTGTGAGCATCTAATATGGATTAAAAAAAGAACCAACAACAAACAAACTTCGTATGAGATCTTCAGAACCAGTGAAATGTAGGAAACGTTAGCTATTTTGAGTTGCACGGAGTTAAACAAAGGAGAAATATCTTTATAGCTAAAACTTGCCATTTGTGTAACTTGGAGGAAACAACAGAAGTACAGCACAGAGCAAATCCATTCCGAGTGCTTCACTGGCAGGATTCATGGCTTAAGCTGGGGCAGGATGAAGTGGGGCTGCAAACTGCATCAGGACCAAACTGAAGGGAAGGCAGTGGGTGCACACATACATAAGTAGGCCCCATGCAGGCATGCACACAAAGCCAGCATATGTAACTATTCGTTCTTTCATATCATCTCTTCCCATCTTCAGATTTAGTACCTGAACACTAAAAGAGACTGCTGGAAGGACATCTGAGCAGGGAACTACCTATGGCCCCATTTGCAGATAAGTTCAGAAGCCAAACTGGAAAAAACACCCCAGCGCGGTCTGTGGCAAAGCAAGGAATTCACACACACCTTCAGGCCACCAGCTGGTTATCT